TGGTGAAGGTGCGTGGTGCTGATGACAGGCCAAAGGGAAGGGCCCGGTATTGCCAGTAGCGGCCCGCAAAGGCAAACCTGAGAAATCTCCTGTGGGAAATCCTTATGGGCACATGGAGGTAGGCCTCTTTGAGATCTATCAATGTTAAGAAATCTCCTTGCCTGAGGCCCCCCAGGATTGAATGCAGTGAGTGCATTTTGAACCTTTTGTACTTTATATAATATTGAGGTTTTTCAAATTCAATATTGCCCTTTGGCTTCCCGAACTCTTGGGAACTAGAAAGAGTACAGAGTAAAACCCCAAACCCCTTTGACCAATCGGTACCGGTTCTATGGCTGTGATATCCAGCAAGTGCTGAATTTTGGTCTCCATCATGGCCCTCTTGGTGGCCTCCCTGGGCATTGGACACTGAATGAAACGATGAGGGGGTCTGGAACAAAATTCTAAAGTTAGTTCGAGAGTTACAGTTTGTAAGGCCCACACGTCCGTGGTGGTATCCCTCCACTGGTCGGCAAACATCTTTAACCTGCCAATAGGGATGTGGGCCCAGGAGTCACTTGGAACGGCGGTAGGGGCATCCCCCTGAAGCCCTGTAGGGGCGCCTGGACTGTGACTGCCGAGATCTGTCTTGGAATCCTGACCTGTCCTGAGATCTGTCTCAATGGAAATATGGTCTCTGAGACTGGGAGGCAGGGAATCCCACCTCCGTATTCCGAAAGGGCTGCCTACGGTAATAAGGAGTTGGTCTCCTATCATATCTCCTATTCAGTTGAGGTAGCACCTTCCTCATCTTTCCCTTCCACCAGGATGGGATCTAACACATCTCCAAACAGCTGCTGTCCTTTAAAGGGTGCAGCAGCCAGACACCCTTTGGACCTGACATCCGCCTGCCATTGGCACAGTCATAACAAGCGTCTGGAGGCCACATTAGACGCTAGAGCCCTAGAGGCAAATTTTGCAGCAGTAATAGATGCATCTGCCATGTATTCCATTGCTGCAATCAGTTTACTAAGATCTTGCTGGAGGCGGAGATCCTCTGGGGAAACTCTGGCCTGATGCTGCTTGAACCATAGGAGCGATGTTCTGGACATAAAGGAAGCCGCTGTAGCGGATCTAATCGCCCAAGCAGCAGCCTCGTGAGTCTTACGTGCGGCCAAATCTGCCTTCCTATCCTCTGACTTCAACCCTTCTGCGTTATCAGAAGGGTGAGTAGCAGCAGAAGCTAAATTAGTTAAGGGAGAATCCACTGTAGGAATTTGGAGAAGTTCTTCAAGTTCCTTCTCCACTGAATACATCTTTTTGTCCATGCCACTAGGCAGTGAAACAGATATAGGATGTTCCCATTGCCTTTTGATTGTATCGACAAAAAACTGTGGAGAGGGGATAACCTCCTGGGTAGTGACCTGTTCTGAAAACAGGCTAGCACAAAGATCCTGGGAATCCTTAGGAGCTGAAGCAGATTTGTCCACCTGGCCCACATTAGCAGTCATTTTAGCCTTAAGTAATAAGGTTCTGAAAAGATGAGGGCGGAACAAACCAGAGTATGCTCGCTTATCATGAACAATGCCCTCATCCCGACATCTCAAATTCACTTAATTCCTCCTCACCTTCCAGTGAAGCCTCACTGTGAAGGGATTGAGTGTCATGATAGGATTCTTCCCTGTAATCCCTATGTCTATGTGACTGATGAGGCACAGGATCTGCCCTGGAAGGCCCTGGATGGGAAGGAGCCAAAATACCCCTCTGGGCCAGCACCTCATCAATGTCCTGGGTAATGGTTTGCACAATGGCATAACGTAATTCTGAGGATAAAGTTTGTTGTACTGGCACCTGAGGGTGGAGACCCGCTGTGGGCGTAAAGGTGGCAGAAGGCACAGTGCGCTGTCTGCCTGGCACCTGAGAAGAATCAGGAGGAGGCTGAACCGTGGGCAATACATAACTCTCCTGAAAAGGAACTGCTTGAAACCCATGTTGTTCCTGAATAATAGTGGGAGACCAGTTAGGTTGCTCCTCTTGTACTTCCTGAGTTTGTAAAACAGTGGGAAAAATATTAGAAGCCTCACCCTGATCCCTTGAACCCACAGGGGATTTAGGAGCTGCAGCCTGTTGCTGAGCCTTTGCAAAATGCTTTTCCAAGGCTTTTTGCCTTCTCAGGGCATCCTTTTCAGCTGCTACAGAGGAAGATTTAGTCTGCTTAGCTTCGGTGCTAACAGAAGGCTTACTGGATCTCAATCTTGGTTTGTTAATGCTAGAGCATTCTGGCTGAGGTGAGGTGGTGAAGACCCCTCAGAATCACTGCTATTGGCCATAATAGACACATTTCACAATTTCAAACCAAGAAAATTAAGACAATAAAATAAAGGTTACTCACTGCGCAGTTCAGGGCTCAATTTACTCTAAACCGACAACACGGTTTATTTGTGAGTATAATATACAGCAGCAGCTATAATCAGGGCACTCCAGGAATAAAAAGGTTGTAAGGCTTTTATCAAGGATGTTAAAGCCACCAAACACAGTAAAAATAGACCAGTACAGAGGTGTACTTGCGTGGAAAGTAGCTGCTCCGGCTTCCAATTAGTAGATCAGGCCCAATCATCGCCCAGCTGCACTCATGTAAAGTATTTTGCTGCGTTGTATAGCCCAAACAAAATGGCGGCTATCGGCCGCATAGTCAGCGCTCCTTCTCCCTGCGATCCGCAGCTCTCCGACAACAAAAAGAGGAGGATTCCGAAGCCTCGGAGCTCCTGAAGGCCTCCGGTGCCTTTCCCAACAATCGGAGTGGCTATCCCATCCACGTGGCAATGGCCGCCGCCACAGCAATTGAAACGCTGCCTCACAGGGTGCCCAGCGCTAACTCGCTCTCTGCGCTCTGTCTGCAAGCCACCCAAGCCGAATTTTAAAGAGGCTCTTATATATATATATATAATTCCAACTCAGTGACGTCACAACAGACTGAAATAAACCCACGCTTCGACTCTCCAAGCAGTGCACAGGAGATGATATGTTTCTCTTCAGGGTGTTCAGTTTTAAGTTTGGAAATTTTATGTTTAAAATTCCAAAATGAGGTCTACATTTGTATAATGATCTAACTCTCCACTTTTTCATAACTAGAACTATTTGGCACATATACAGTGGGGCAAAAAAGTATTTAGTCAGCCACAAATTGTGCAAGTTCTCCCACTTAAAAAGATGAGAGAGGCCTGTAATTGTCATCATAGGTAGACCTCAACTATGAGAGACAAAATGAGAAAAAAAATCCAGACAATCACATTGTCTGATTTGGAAAGAATTTATTTGCAAATTATGGTGGAAAATAAGTATTTGGTCAATATCAAAAGTTCATCTCAATACTTTGTTATATATCCTTTGTTGGCAATGACAGAGGTCAAACGTTTTCTGTAAGTCTTCACAAGGTTGGCACACACTGTTGCTGGTATGTTGGTGCATTCCTCCATGCAGATCTCCTCTAGAGCAGTGATGTTTTGGGGCTGTCGCTGGGCAACACGGACTTTCAACTCCCTCCAAAGGTTTTCTATGGGGTTGAGATCTGGAGACTGGCTAGGCCACTCCAGGACCTTGAAATGCTTCGTTGCCCGGGCGGTGTGTTTGAGATCATTGTCATGCTGAAAGACCCAGCCACGTTTCATCTTCAATGCCCTTGCTGATGGAAGGAGGTTTGCACTCAAAATCTCACGATACATGCTCCATTCATTGTTTCCTGTACACGGATCAGTCATCCTGGTCCCTTTGCAGAGAAACAGCCCCAAAGCATGATGTTGCCACTCCCATGCTTCACAGTAGGTATGGTGTTCTTTGGATGCAACTCAGCATTCTCTCTCCTCCAAACACGACGAGTTGTGTTTCTACCAAACAGTTCTACTTTGATTTCATCTGACCATATGACATTCTCCCAATCCTCTTCTGGATCATCCAAATGCTCTCTAGCAAACTTCAGACGGGCGCGGACATGTACTGGCTTAAGCAGGGGGACACGTCTGGCACTGCAGGATCTGAGTCCCTGGCGGCATAGTGTGTTACTGATGGTAGCCTTTGTTACGTTGGTCCCAGTTCTCTGCAGGTCATTCACTAGGTCCCCCCGTGTGGTTCTGGGATTTTTGCTCACCGTTCTTGTGATCATTTTGACCCCACGGGGTGAGATCTTGCGTGGAGCCCCAGATCGAGGGAGATTATCAGTGGTCTTGTATGTCTTCCATTTTCTAATTATTGCTCCTACAGTTGATTTCTTCACACCAAGCTGCTTGCCTATTGCAGATTCAGTCTTCCCAGCCTGGTGCAGGTCTACAATTTTGTTTCTGGTGTCCTTCGACAGCTCTTTGATCTTCACCATAGTGGAGTTTGAAGTGTGACTGTTTGAGGTTGTGGACAGGTGTCTTTTATACTGATAACAAGTTCAAACAGGTGCCATTAATACAGGTAATGAGTGGAGGACAGAGGAGCCTCTTAAAGAAGTAGTTACAGGTCTGTGAGAGCCAGAAATCTTGCTTGTTTGTAGATGACCAAATACTTATTTTCCACCATAATTTGCAAATAAATTCTTTCCAAATCAGACGTGATTGTTTGGATTTGTTTTCTCATTTTGTCTCTCATAGTTGAGGTCTACCTATGATGAAAATTTCAGGCCTCTCTCGTCTTTTTAAGTGGGAGAACTTGCACAATTGGTGGCTGATTAAATACTTTTTTGCCCCACTGTATTCTTCACCATGGGTAATTCTAATCCTGTACCTATAGTTTCCAGGATGGACTTTTACATCTACAATTCTAAAACTACGAAAAAATGTAAATTTGTTGTTTGCATATCTATTATTTATTATCTGTTATTATTTCTCTTATTTAAACCAATCATTAAAATCTTCACTGATCTTCATTAATCATCTTCTTCCATTTGCAGTATTTACCAGAATAAACAATGGTTGATGTATTAGAATTAGATCATGGTATCTCTGTGCTAAGATCCATTACTTAATTTCAAGGAAACATACCTTCTAAAATCTGCAATCAGCTTGACATCTGCTATGACAAGTTTGTGTTTTATGATCATGTGTTTCAGATTTTGATTTTGTTCTGATATTGGATAATATTCTTCACAGAATAGACAAGGCACATATGGAGATTCTTCTTCAGCAGAAATGCCACCTGGACTTTCTGGCAGGGAAAGTGGTTCCAAAATATAGTCTTGGTGGTCTAAAGAGAATATCAGGATCAGAATTAATACATATGTACAAATATACTTTTTTGCAATTACATTCTATCTGCATTTTTTCTGAAATATAATCAATAATTCATATATGCATTTTTGCATAAACTCATATATACAAGAATCTATTTTAAACAATCAAGTAATGGTTTTCATTCTAGTGCCCAAGGACTGGCATGAATGGGAAAACAGAATCAGAATACCTTTGTCATCATGAAATGTATTCCTTAAATGTCTGCCATTCTGCTCCAAAATTCAACCCCCAACTCACCTTGCTTGCCCAGTCTAAACTATAAGCAATGGGGACACAACTTGTTGCTTCCTGTTGTCAAAGCCCAGAGAGGAAAAGGCAAACAATACTTCCATTGCAAAACACAAGACAAATTATAATTACATCATTTTCAAAATAGCATAGAACATTTGATGCAATTCCATTTAAAATGGCTGTGGTTTGTTCCATATTCAAACATGCCAGCAAGTTTTGTTCCTATTGAAACAAAACTCATGAAATACATACTGCTTTGAGTAAATCATTTGATGCAGCTCAAACCATTCTTTTGCAAATCCTTACTGTTTAACAAGGAAGAAAAACACATTTTCTAACAAAATATTAAATTCTTATTATTGAGCCACAATAGCACTTCTGGAAGCTACTGCTAAGGAACTGGATACTTTACTCTCTAATATGACAGATATCAGTCTAAATCAAAGGAAAATAAGACCCTTTGGGCTCTTGGTTTAGTCAACTAATCCTCAGCCTAATTTGAGAAATTATCTATGAAGGATAAATTCAGGCCTCTGGGAATAACTACATCACCTCCTTCCAAACATATTCTTAGACGAAAGAGAAAGAAAGTGTCAATAAATTGAGGAGATGGGGTTGTCTGAAAAAATGTGTTTCAAAGCAAGGGTGTCTAATTCACTTTTAGCACAAACCCTAACTATTGTTTCAGATCGACCTTTCCTATAATTTCCATCAGTTTGGCCAAAGAAACATGTTCTTTATATAATTTTTTCCCCAAAAGCCTAAGGAACTACTTACTAACAAGCAAGCAGGCAAGTGTACTTATAGTCTTTGATTTATGATCACAAACAGACAAATACTTTTGCACTTGATTTCATGGGGTTTTTTGCCACTATCATTAAGCAATCCACCTTCCTTTATTGATTTTGCTTGTTGGAAGCCCCCTGGAAAAGTCACAAATGGAGATCACATGTCTCCAAGATGCTGCAACAGTTTTAAATACATGTTGATTGCCAAGGACCTGAATTCTGATCATGTGACTACTGGGACAAGTATGAGGAATGTTCATAAGTCACTTTCTTCAGCACCACTGTAACTTTGAACAGTCATTAAATGCATGGTCGTAAATCAAGGACTACCTGAATACAGGAATCTCAATTCACTTGAATAAATAGTGGAATCCAGCATAGCATATGTCACATCCACATCCATCCATAAGGTTCATATATAATTAAAATGATATCTTATAAAATATTTATTCTTCCTTGCACGTGCACCAAAATGTCAGTTTTTTGGATGGTTTATCGCTAAGCAAGCTTCACATACTAGGGGCTATGTTTTGATCCCTGGCATCCTCAGATAGAAATGAACCTGTCTGCAAATTAGTGAATGAATTAGCTAGTCTGATTTAGAACAAGGCACATTTATGTATGTTCTTTCAGATTCTCCATCCAGTAGAATTGCAAAAGACATGGTTGTCAGAATTTCTTTTGCCTCTCCAAGTGAGGAGAACAAAGACTGTTGAGGGTTTTTTTGTGTTTTAAAATACTAGAAATATAATCCTTTAACAATTCCTAACTTCCCGTATCCCTTAGGTTCATCTTGGATCATGGCCACCTCCATATATAATTCTTGATATCCTGTACAATGTCTGGTTTAACACTCAAACAGATGGAAATGGCACATCCCTGCTCCTGAAGAATGCCAGAAATTCTCAGAACTATCTCATCAAACAAAATTAGGCATGACACATTTTTTGTGATCCTCTCATCAATTCCTATTAATCTGGACACACCCATGAGTTTAGCAGATACTACATTTGATTAAGTGCAGCAAGAAAAATTACTTAGACCACCTTGGACATTAACTTTAGTCTTTTGTAGAAACCCAAAACCAAAAGTAAAAAACCAAATTGAAATCTAGATTTTATTGTTCACAAACACTGGAGATATAGATGAAGATTATAGTGATATATTGTAGACTTTGTGTTATAAAAAGTTTTGGTTGATCTTTTAAGAATATGATATATAAATATGGGTATTGATGTGTTTGTCAGCTCACCATGTTGAAATAATTGTACCAAAACAAAATAAGTACATCTACTGCATTATTGTTTTTCTAATTAAAGCCAGCAGTTGAATTAATAAATTCATTAGCAACAAGCCTGCTTTATTATCTCATTCATACAGCTAGCTAATACAAGAGATTAGTTGAACTTGACAACAATTCCCAAAACAAGGAACAAAAAGAAATGTATTAAGAAGTAATAAACAGCAAAGAAAACAAATCAGTATAAGAAGAAGGATGCTTTCAGTAATTCTGAAACTCATATATTAAAAAGATGTGTATAACAAAAAGGGAAGAAATGGTTTCTCTAGTATTTATCTGCCAAAAAAAATCCTTTTTTTAATCAAGTATATTAGAAAAGAAGAAATAATGTCAATCAGGAAAATTTGCTAGCAAGGGGATGGAATAAATATCAGATGATTTCTATGATAGTTTTTAATGAGTGGCTTTATTACGTTTCCATGATCCTGAAAAGACTACCATTATGAAATTAGAATCCCTTCAGTTAGTCTCCATCTGCTTTCTAAGTCTACAAAATGCCAAATATATATTCTATAAACCAAATATTTTTAAGATCTGATTATTTTTACATTATAGTGATAGCACATAATACTTATAACTTAAGTTAACTTAAGAGAATTAGAACTAGAGAATACATAAATATGGCTAAGCAACTTTGTGCAGGGTTTATTGGAGAAGTATGGTAACAATGCATGGTGTCAGCATTCCAGCAAAAAACCCCTCTCCAAGTAAAGACACGGAAGCAAGGATTTTCCAAAGTCCTCTTTACTAGAATAGGCAAACTGGCACATCTGGGAAATCCCAAATCTGAAAAGCCCGGGCTTTCCTTCAGTAATTCAAAGCTCCCAAAACCATCCCATTTCTCCCCAGTCGGCCACATGCTCCAATCAACGTCCATTCCACCTCGACTCAGCCCCTGACCTTGACTTATGTCTACTAATTCTCCTCTCCTAAATCCTCCCTCCTACTTTCCCACACACGAGGAGATGGCAGCATTGAAGCTTCCGGCCTAATATGGCTTCCAAGACTGACACATGGTGGGACCACACTTGCCTTATCTTTGCCTCTGGAAATATGTAAATTCTCAGTGGTTCTATAATCTCTTCCCTACCACAAATGTCAAACATTGGTGGCAGTTTCTCTATTTTTTGAGAAGAAAAATATCCCCCACACACCACATACCCCCTCCCCCTCACACATGTAGGCTTAACAGGCTCTTAACAGTTTCAAAAAACAACAACTCCATATTCCCAAGAAATCCAAAAAAATCCTTTATCAATCTAATGTGTGCCAAGACTCACTAACTCTACACATCATTCTATCCACCGCTATCCAGACTACCTAAATTGTGTTAGATTTGATTATGGGACAAGAAGACAACAACTATGCTCTTTCATTGTTATAAAAAAAAGACAACTAAATTCATGTTAAATCCAATTGTGTTGATTCCTGATAAGTACAGCCTGTTTCCTGTGTCTATTTATAATAAGGTAATGGACAGGGACCTAAGACAAAGTGCAGATTGAAATATGGCAATTGTCAATTTAGTCAATTTAGCTATCTCTGCTAACTCCACCAACTTTTGTGCCATTCATCCATTGTAGGAATCGAAGTGTCATTCCATTTTTCTGCATAAAGTAATCTTGCTGCCATCAACATACAGTGCATTCAGATAGTATTCAGACCCCCTTCACTTTTGTCAATTTTGTTATGCTGCAGCCTGATTCAACAGTAGTTGAAATTCATTTTTCTCATTAATCTACACTCAGTACCCCATGATGACAAAGTACCCCATGATGACAAAGTGAAAACAGAATTTTAGAAATGTCTGTAAATTTATTAAAAAGGAAAAACTGAAACATCACATTGGCATAAGTAGTCAGATCCTTTGCAAGAACACTTGAAATTTAGCTCAGCACCTCCCACTTCTCTTGATCCTTGCTGACATGTTTCTACATCTTGATTGGAGTCAAGGTGTAGAAACTGTGGTAAAATTAAATTGATTGGACATGATTTGGCTTCTATAGAAGGCCTCAATGCATACTGTAGCAGAGCAAAAGCTATGAGGTCAAAGGAAGCTTCTCTTCAGTGCAAAACACAGAAAGCCCCCTTGGACTTTGCAAAGAAAGCACCTGAAGGACTCTCAGACTGTGAGAAAGAAGATTATCTGGTCTGTTGAAACCAAGATTGAACTGTTTGGCCTCAATTCTAAACATTATGTCTGGAGGAAACCAGGCACCACTCATCACTTGCCCAATATCCTCCCAACAGTGAAGCATCATGCTGTGGGGGTGTTTTTCAGCAGCAGAGACTGGGAGACTGGTCAGGATTGAGGGAAAGCTAAATGGAGCTGTGATGACCTGGGGCGTGGCATGAAAGCAAAACAACCAGAGAACAGGTCTAATTCCCCTTTATAGCTCCAACTGTGCCTCCAAACATTCAATACAAGTCCTGGAGCAAAGCTCTCACATGCACCTTCAGAAGCCTCTGGCTGCAAGTAGTCCAGTAAGCCAGGTTAACCAAACAGCAACCAGGGCCAGCAGTCCAATAAGTTAGCTAAACAGTAGCCAGAGCAAGAAGTTCAGCGAAGCAAGCAAACTGGCAAGCCCCACAAGACAGAGTACAGCAATCTCCAGGCTTTGGAAAGTGCACACG